TCGGCCTTTTCAGCCACCAACGCACTTGTAACAAACGTGGGTAGAGGCCTCCCCAAATCTTTGTTCGCAAAGCCCAGCCATGATGATAATGATGATGATGATGATGATATATATATGCTGTTTTGTGCTTAAACATTGACACTTCACACGCTCAGTTTATGGCGTTTATGGCTACACTCTGTAGCCGTAAGAAGTGGGAGCCATCTTCCCTTAATGGGGAAGGGAAAGCTGTAATGGCTGGTATGGTCATGTGAATCCAGTATCTAGAGCTTTAAGACCAGTACCATGAGAGCTGATAAAATCATAGGAGCTGACAACTGAGTACTGCTTCAATATTATAAGGGGAACAATATCAAAGATATGGAAAGAACTGCAGATAGTTTTCATAATCTGACATATTTTCCATACATGAACTATTGCTTGGCTGAGCAGCAGATTCTTCAGTGGCATTATGAGGTCTTCTACAAAGCCATCTGTTTACTGCCCCCTAATGACATTTTTTCTGCATTTCATGGTTGTACTTGTCTTCTTTCCACTTCTTTCTGGTATAAACACTGCGTAGTACTTTGGTAAGGCTTGCTTGAGATATTTTAATGCTTCTGATGCAACAGTTGTCTTCTACATTTCTGTGTATAGGCCCATCATGCACAGAAGATACTGACAGTAGGCAGTTAGCCCTAATGATATTTCTTTATTGGGAGAACATCTGTTAGGTTTTTGGTGACTACAGCAGGAGATATTTTTGTCAAGTGCTTATACCATGATTCAGGCTGTTTTATAGACTAGCAACTTAGATACTTTGTGTCTAAAAGGAAAATTGCATGCTACCATAGGCTTTTTACCCATAAATCTTAACGTAATCTGTCATTTCTCTGCTTTAATATGACAGGCATGTTATTGAAATGCCAGCCATGAGATCAAATTCTCCCCACATCTTGCAGAAAATAAGCTGTGAATTTTGGTCCAATTAATTTTTTGTATTTTTGTAGTCAGATAGGACTACACACTTTTTCCATCTCTTATTTTTTTCTGCCTCTGTAGTCTCAGAAAATAAACTGTGAGCAGTCTGATCCAGCAGTGCTAGATAAGCCTAGGATTTTTAAAAATCTGCATTGAAATTATCTCAGTGTTACTTTATGGTCTATTTCCTTTATTGCAGTCATTATTGAAAGAATGGCACTCACTTAAGGAGTGGTTATTGTAATTTCATTAGGGACAGAACTTTTTAGCTGTCAGAAGAAATTATGGTTTTAAGCATTTTCTCTTCTGACTATATTCTTGTTTAATACAAAACATGATTGTATTAAAAGCAAATGACCTGTTGCCTTAAAAATGAAACACTGACATTTCCTAACTATAGTATACACAGTATTAAATTCAGAAAAATATTTCTTAAATCAAGTTTTCTAACAACAGTGGTAGAAAGAGAACTTGCACCAGTATTCTTCAAGTATGGAGAGTATGTTTTGGTCCAATGCTGTGCTAAATCTATTTTATGCTATAATCTCCAGCATTTAGGGTTGATTTCTTTCAGTGGGCCCACAAGGATTCTAATTCTAGATCTTCTTGTCCTTCCCTTGGAAAGGGAGATAAATGTGTATCTACCCAGCACCTCAGTCTTACAGACTTAGAGAATGAATCAGAGAAACTACAGAGAGAGTTGAGGGAGACTGGTTTCCTATCTTGGCCACTAATGTAGAAGCTTGAAGTGAGCTAAGGGAATAAGAATGTTGCACTTATGTTTCCTTCTACAGGCCCATTTTTCTCTGAAGATTCCATTATTTATGCCTTTAGTCCATTATTTGTGCCTCTCTTCCACTGTTTATTAGAACTGAGAGAACAGAACATGTCTGAAGTTTGTGCAGATACCATTGTCACACTAGAGCTCTTTAAATTGGTGCAATATTTGTGTATTGGCAAGAGGAAAAGAAACACTATCGGGGAATATATAAAAAGTAGGTATAATTAATGCATTTATGTTTCTTAAACTCTCATTGAAGGTGTAGGAACCAATAGCACCATCTCCAGTTTTATTTTCATGTTCATCACAGAAATTGATGGAAAAAACTAATGTAGCTGTTCAAGTGATAGAAAATTGGCAAAATTGGAAAACTGGAAAAATTAAGCTTGTGCTTGCCAAGTCGCTGGTGATGATTTTAAATAGGTTTAGTGTTTTTCTTGAGGTCTTTTCCTGCAGAAGGGAAAAATATAACATGCTGTTCAGTTGCCTATAAATATTTACTTTGTTGTTTGTGCTGGTTTAAAGGTAAACCAACAGGAGAAATGAACCCAACTCAAAAGAGATTATAAATCAGAGCTACAATTTAATAAAAATAATACAATAAATGCAATTATACGGACAAACAATTAGTTTTAACCCACAAAACCCACATGTATAACCCAGTACCCTGGGGCACGAACAGAATGGTGTTCATTGGCCCCTGTGCTGAGCCCCACGTGGTCCCCCTGAGTCTAAAGTAAAAGGAAAGGAAGACCTGTTGGTGAGGGTGCTGGTTGCAGTCCGGTTGAGAATGGTGGTTGCAGTCCGGTCAAGGTTCTGGTCCTCCTCTGGATCCGACAAGTGGGCCCAGAAGTCCCAAGACCCCAAGATTATATACACTCAGGTTCGAGTGGGAATGCCCAGTACCTCCCCCAGGGCAGGCGGTTCCACAATGGGTGATTGTGAGATATTTTTGGAAACCTCGATGGCCTATTAGCAGACATGACCCCTCAGGCTGGGTTTGGAGGTGCTAATGACTTCCCGGAGGGGAGTTATCACACCTGAGTCATTGGTGTGAGGATACGAACATCCTCCTATCTCACAGGCTTCCTAACACCCACCTTGTAGCCTGAGGGGTCAGGTGTGCTCTGGGCAGCTGCTGGAAATGGTGTATTGTTAACAGTTCCTGGAAATGACATAGAGGGTGTAGAATACACAGTTTGGGTTACACCCACACCGTGATGAACTTGTCCCAGCTGCTCTAACTAGGACAACAGAACTAGCAATTCATGGTGTTTAGAGAAACATGTCTATCACAATGCAACGTTCTTTTCTTGAGCAGTCACTGAAAGCAAATTTGGATACAACAGTCCATTTTAAAATCTGGGGCAATAAGTTGTCAATGCAAAGACTGAGATTTATTGTTGCTTCCAGGAGTTGACAAGATGGAAAACATTCAATGTTCTCTTTTAGTATTGAACCTTTGTGTAAAATAAGTAGTATTCACAATGCCAGTAGACTTCAGAAAACATTTCTCACATAAACAGAAGCAGCTCACTGTTTTAATTGGCACACACTTAATGTTTCTCCTAGGTTAACTCTGAGGCATCTGTACAACAGTGGTGGTAACACTGCTCTCAGGTATACACTTGTGCTTGAGGTTATTAAGATCTCTTGGACCTCCAAAATATTCAACATCACCCCCTCCTCACAAAAAGAGTCTAAAAGTAAGGATGGTTATAATTTTGTTATTTATTGATAAGAATTTTACTCCTAAGACAAACTCTTTGGGGAGTCATTGGTCAGAACTTAGCTAGTATTACACTGGATAGAGTTGGGGACTTTTGCTTGGGATTTGCAATGAGTGCATCTTGGCTGGGAGTCATTCCTTTAGGAAAATGAGCTGGATATTATATTTGTTTGTCTTAAAGAAACTAACAATCAGCTCCCACATGCCCTAATCACTGGGCTGTGTAACGATGGTCCTGCTCCTTGTTGTCTGCTCCAGCAGAAATGGGTTCTTTCTTACAGAATATCATGATTTCAAAGGATAGGGTGCTCTGCTTCATGAGGAGTCTGTGTTCATGTGGTAATGATATTCTGCTCAATTAAGATATATTTCAACTTCCATTTGTACCAGTCAGTCTGACAACCTGCTCTTTACAGAAAGGCACGCAAAGCAGAGCCAGATAACACACAGAGACTGGCATTTACAAGACTAATACTATGCATGTTGTAGACCTCAGTCACTTGAGATTCTTTGGGGAGAAGCTGTCAGGGTAATGGATGCATTTACACTTGGTTCCTGTCACCATCAACTTTGATGTGATTGATCTTCCTGACAAAGAGGATAAACTATTAGTCATCCTTTGGGAAGGCATTGTCTGGAATTAATAATCCTATCACCTGGATTCACCTTATCACAGGGAAAATTTTATTTTTTAGTCGATTTCAAATAAAAATGTATTGACCTCATAACAGCTTCAATCTTGCTGTTAAATATTAACTTGGAGTTTTGTTTTTGCTTCTGTTTAAAAAATATGACATTTCTCCAGTATATGAGATCATAGTCTTAATGGAGCTAGGTTTAAAAAAAAATATATAAAATACATGTTTAGGCTTTTGCAAAGGTTTGAATTTTTGTACTTTTTGCAGATCAGTTGAATTCAGAAAATAATTTTTCTTCATTCTTCTTTGTTGCATTCATAGAACAGAAAATATGAGCTGCAAACTCTACAGAATACTGTAATAAGTTATAATTTTGTAAAGTACTTAAGAAATTAGACAGCATTATTGTGCATAGGAAGTGGAGTGGTCCTTAACACTTATGTTGTCACTTAAAACAAAGATTATAATAGTTCTTTAATTCCTTAATAAGAGAAACTTAAGAACCTGGAGCTCTTGAATAATTAGTAATGGGTTATTTTTAATTGTAAATAAAACTGTATTTAGATTTATTGCTTAAATTTATTATGTATTTTCCATTTGTTTCAAATAAAATGCCTATCCAACTTCCAATTCATCAGCACTGCTTAGAAATTTCAACAAAGCTGTAAGTCTGTGGATATTGGATAAAGTTAACTAAATTATACGGATTACACTAGGCTGTCTGCCAGAAAGAAAGTTTACCTACAACTTGTCATTAAGAACCTATAAGCCATTTATAGCATATATTTAAATCATATAGCTGTTCTGTGTAATAGGGAGGGAGGACTGCTATTGAAAACATTGGAGTTACTAATTGACACCATAATGATAAAGTTGCTTTTTTGTTTTTCAGGTCTTAGGAACAGATGAGGATAATATGGGGGATGGTTGCTCTCAGAAACTGGCTTCGGCCAGGTTCCTTCGACTTTTGCTCCTAATACTGATTCCTTGCATCTGTGCCCTTATCCTTTTGCTGGTGATTCTGCTTACCTTTGTAGGTGAGTGCTAATGGAGTAAATCGGCACTTTTCAAGTTAAGGAGACTAGAAAAAGACCACATTCTCAAGTGCTAATATAACTGTGGACATTAAACATGTATTTTAGCACATCTACCTAACCACTTAATCTACCTAATGACTGCTTGTTGCAGAAAAATAAATACACTATTTAGATTTATATATTTAAAACATATTTAAAGTACCAATGAGGAAACCATCTCTGATTTTCTCAAGGTAGCATTTTCTTTTGAGAAGCATGTAGCATGTAGATAGTTTTCAGAAGTCATTTTACAAGTACAAAAAGATATTTATGTCAGAGCTTTAGATCACTGTCACTGGAACTGAATATTTATCCCTTTATGTCATACGCTTGTATGCAAATCTGATTCTCATTTTCAAGTGAAATTTAATTTATAAATAGCCACAAATCTTTCTGAATCTGTTCTACAAAATATTACTGTTTTGCTAAGGAAAACTATGGTCATTTCTTCTAAATATGGAATACGTATTAATGCAGAACCCCAAACTGGTTCCAGGTATATTAGATTTCATAATGGCTTAGTCTGTTACGTAATTCTGTGTCTGTTACACAATTAAAAGGTGCTAATTTATTACCATAAATTTTTTAAAAGTCTTCCTTTCGTTACCTTTAGAGAAGGCTGACATATCATTAAATTGCTTCAACTACAGCATGAAAAAGACAGTAATACTAAGTTAAAGCATTGCTTTTTTAGAGAAAAAAAAGTAAAGAAATAATCTGCTTTCAGTGCTGAGGGGTGTTGAGCTTTTTGCCTTTTTTATTTTGTTAATGAGAATATTTTCTAGTTGGGCTTCCCTAAGTACTTCAGAAGCACACCTGTAACAAGTGGGATAATGTATGAACTATACAGATATATATCAATTTTCTGATTTTAAATACACCAATTTCAATACACATCAAACAGTCAAACAGTTAGCCAGGAAAGGAAGAAACATATCTCAGTAGCACTGTCAAGACAACTTAAGCCTGTTTTCTCAATTCAGTCTGTAAAGGATTTGCAGCAAGACATTGCGGGCCTGTTATTTTCATTTAGTTTAAGTTTGGGAGGTAAAAAAACTCCAAAGCTAGTGAATGTTATGATTGACAAGTAAGTCTTGGGTTTTATCTCTCAACTAAGAACAGTCTGAAATGGATTAAGATCAAGTCTGGCAATTAGGAAATATGATGCCATTCAATTTGCTTTCCTTATGTTTAGCATTCCATTTGTATCCTTCATATCCTCTGCCCTAGATTTTCATTCTTTAGTGAGAAAGCAGATAAAAAAGCAGGTGTATTTACATCAGCTCTACTCAGTCTCCTCCTGAGGCATGTATCGACATAACACTCTTTAAAATGCATTAAATCCTCTGAGAAATGGGACCTGTTCTGATCCTACTTATGTAGCAAAAATCAGGACTATCTACTCTTAATTCAGTGAAATTACTGTAGGGTAAAGAATAAGGTTTGGTGTTATAACCCAAGTCTAAAATTGGCAAAGCTCCCTTCAGGAGCATCCTTTGAATTAACATATTATAATTTAGTATTCTCAGCAGCTTTCATTTTCTATGCATTGGTAGCTTAGCAGCAAATATGTTTGATGACTAGAATGAAATGAACAAATTCTGTGGACCTCTTTAAAGTGTGTGTAATATAGTCTGTTTTAGTTATTGAGAATACACTATATCCAGAATAGTACTTCATATTCATTTCAGATCAACAATAACTGAATTCTGTTACAATCTAATATTGATATGAAGTCTTACAGTCTATGAAAGAAGTTGATAGTCCTGACCAGCTAAGAGAAATTATTTAATATATGGGTAATTACAGTTTTACGTTTTTTTCCAAAAATTAAGGAGTTAAAATCTGTGGTTGTCATTCTAGTATCTTTCATTGGTGCATAAAACATAAATAGAAAACTCCAGTCTATCCTTAAGAACCTTATGAACTTTTTTAGATTTGACTTTGGTAATTAATTCATCAGGAAATTAGACCTTTTATATTTTGAAAGAAAGTGTTTTGTTTCCTGTGGTAAGTTTGTGGGTAATTATTCTTTTACTTCTGTAATATTTTTTAATTAAATGAGGCATATACACATGAAAAAGTGTGCGTGCACCTGAGAACTTTTCTATTCATTTTCCTTTACATCTCTTTTGTTGCCTGCATGTCATTGCAAGCTCTGATGTTGAAGAAACAGAGAAGTTGGTGTGGGAGAAAGGTGACAGGAAGAGCAATACAGTTATACTGTAGTAATGGAAATATCCTACTTGAGGTGTCATGGGGCCCTGTTTTCAGAATATGACATTAATCAGTCTTGCAAAAATTTTTTACCTTCCAAGTATTCAAGATCCAAAGTCCTTGAAAAAGTAATTTTGTAGAATTGTGTACAAAGAAATGACAAAGCAAATTACGAGTCGAGATACATGTGATTTTGACTAAAAATGCAAGAAACTTTTAGGTCCATAGAAGAAAAGAGCAATCTGAGTTGTTTAGTTTTGATTTCTCTTAAGTGCTTACATTCTGGCTCTGCATACTCTGCTATCTCTCACCAGGAGTCAACCTCTAGGAGAAAACCTTGTAAGGAATGAATGTTGTTTCACTCCTGGAAGTAGAGGCATTACCAGTTACTTTGAAGGAAGTCTAGCCTTTAGACCATGACCATAGTAATTTGTTGAAAGCCTGTGGTACATCAGAGGAGAGAAGGGAGTAGGAATATTGCTTGCATTGAACTGTCGAAGACCTAACATTCCAGATCTTGACTATGAAGACCTAACTCTGCAATATAAATTTGAAGGGGGAAGAAAAGGCTAGATCATATATGATTAAGATTACTGATATCTTACAATTACACTTGACTCCTGTAGACCTCAAGAGCCTTCTAATAAGACTGGTCCATAATTTTTTGCTGGGGATTATAGCTAGTGTAGTATAGTATGGTATGGTACAGTGCAGTATAGTACAGTATAATTTCATCACTTTCCAGAAAAACAAACAATAACTGAATGCATGGTTTGAACAGCTAAATGTTTCTTGAAAATGGAGAGATGTACGATCCCCTTCAAATTGTGTTAGAATCTGTAGTCTATGTCTCATTTTGCTGAAAAAAACCAGAAAAAAATCCTTAAGTGATGAATAGTATGCAAATATTGCAAAGGTGAAAATTAGCATATTTGTTAGAATGAAAAATTTCCAACATTTCATTCTTATCCTTGCAGAGAGAAAGTGTTCTAAACTACTCGAAACATTGTTTTTAAAAAGTCCTTCATAGCTGGTAGGCATTATACCAAATTAATTTTTTTTTGATTGAACCATAATTGCTTCTCGTTGCAGTTATTTATCTGGGAAAACAGAATGCTTTATAGTTATAGTCCCATAAAGGAAAATCAGTTTATAGTGATAAATGAATTCCACGGTAGATGTTGCATTCCTCCCATCCCTTCACATGAGTGTCCTCAAATCATACTTAGATGGTCTTCTTCTGTCTCCTGCTAATACCCATCCACAACTAATGCTTTGTCTATTTTTTCTGTAGAAATCAGAATAAGTGTTATGACACACATAAAGAGGGGTTTCATCTATGTCAGACTTTTCCAGTCAAGATGTAATTTTTGGGCACATGATCACATTCTAGGACCATATCAAATAAGCCTGCCTTTCAGGCAAGCAGCATACCCTTTTATCTATGCACAGTGTTAGGCATTTACGCATTTTGCAAAAATAGTATTTTAATTATCTCTTGGTCTGCCAGCCCTGGTGGGAATGAAGATCCTTCACAGAATAAACATCAGGAAAAGTTCATTTTAGTAGAACTGCTTGGCTTAGCTTTGTCAGCTGAGATAATACAATTAGGAAGGCCTTTTATGTAGAAGAGGTTCATTGTGTTGTCCACCTGTCAAGAAGAGTTGTTATCACTAGGAAACTGTGAAAATAGAACAAAAAATGGCATTGTTGGAAAGATGGGTTGAAGAAGCAAACAAGCCTTTGGGGATCTCAGTGAAAGAAGTAGATCACCTTATAGGTAGTGATAGACACAGCTTTTATTTGTAGTTCCAGAAAACGAATAAAATAAGTCTGAGTGAGGAGAGTACAGAATCCAGTTAGTAGTTTCATATTTTGCTTCACAGTATTTATTTGTCCGAAGGGGTTTTTAAAATTTCTTTCAAGAGTTTACCTGTCTTGAAAGGTATTGTCTGCTATTTTGCTGAGTGATATAGAAATACCTGATCATTTTAACTTTAATTTAAAATCATTATTAATAGCTCTTTGGGACCAATGTTTTAGAGACTTTTTCTATTTTTATGCTGAGTGGAGGAGAAGAGATGAGTCCAGGGAGGAGCAGAGAGAATGTGAAAAAATACCTTCAGCTATTATGCACTTTGTCAAAGGAGTTAAAAAAGCTTGTTTTAACTTTTTGAAAACTGCAAAAAATCTAGTGAAGGTTGAAACTTGAAACAAAGTAGGCTTCTGAATTATAGAAATTCAAGGCTTTATTTGGAAACAAAGCATCCAAAAAAAGCCACATTTAAGTAAGCACAATTTCTGAACACAACCACTCACAATTCCTTAGGCTTTAGCAAATTATATTAATAGTGGTCCTTATTTGTGCAACTGCAACACATTCATTCTTCCTGTTTGGCCTGACCAGAGGACTCAAACAAAGAAACTTGCTGAAATAATTTGCAGGTGGGAGATTTTCAGTTGCTTCTGTAAAATACACACAGTAAATTCCTCCAAATCCCAATGAATTATTTGAATTATTTGAAATATTTGCTGGTGGAAAAACAGGAACCTTAGTATGTGTATATATATATATATAAAGTTCCCCTTGGTTCTTCCAGTAGAGGTTCGACATAAAGATTTACTCACAATCAGGGATCTATGTTTACCAGTGGTAGTTAAATTACATAATCCTATATAGAGAAAATAGTATCTCTTTCCATTTTAAAAGTTAGTGAATATAAAATATATTAAAAAAGTATTAGTTCCCTTGAAGCTTCAGAATTAGATTTCTGAAGATGTTGACACTATGAAAACAAGAGATGATTCAATTTAAAAAGAGAAAAAATAGTATTGTCAGTCTTGTTAACACTATAATAGAATGAAAGCACATTAGAGCTACTTGAAATTGCACTCTATAGTTTTAAATGTGTAAGAGTTCTGTAACTAAATGACTATAAGTAAGGTTAAAATATTTGAAGCTCGTGGAACCATTTGTTTCTTTATTTATCCTGCAGTAGCCATAGCTTTTGTTTTATGTGCTACTGTTATTTTCTTGCTACATTCTTAAATTTAGTTATCTTTAACTTGGAAATAAATGTTACTTTTAAATCTGTGTCATTATATTTATTATTAACCTGCCAAAACAGATTGGTAACACTTGTTCTTCCAGGTGATGGATGGTAATTTTGGTGCTTTTTTCCTTTCTTCTAGGGGTGTTAGAAAAAACATGCTTTTATTCAAATGGAACTGAGGTCATCACAGTTAATGGTGACTTCGAAACATATGATGATCTTTTGCCAAACATGATTGAAAACAGTTCCAAGACTGATCTCACAATGGATCTCAGCACACAGCCTTCTTCCTGGACCACCACACTTTTATCCCACATTGACCAAATGAACAAGAACTCAAACATGTTTAGAGAGTCTTTCCAGAAAAATTCATTTGGTCTCCCAACTCAAGCCACAGTGCTCAGTCATCAGCCTACAAATGATGCTGCTTTGTCAGAGGGCTCTGAAGACAACACCCAGCTGTTTGCCACTGCAGAAGAGGTGACTATGTGGTCTACAGATGCATCCTTTAACAACATAGAGAGGATGACCACTCCACCAGTATTAAGTCCTACCCGTCCATCTGCATCACAAAAAATGTATCAGAAAAAAAGTAAGTTTACCTTTCATTTGGCCCCATAATTCTGACTCAAAAACTACAGAGCATACTGTTGGCATGCTTTCCAATGTGTTCCTGTGAGTTCTAAAGCATGTGTCCCTTTTGATAATTTGTCATGCACATTACACGTTGCAAGCCAGTGGTTTCTTATCAGAACATTTGATCGACCTGTTGAGGAAGATGTAGTAAATTCTTTCATGTATGAAAAATTACAATACATTTTTGTAATGGTGGTAATAATTAATGCTTGCCAAGGCTGAAAATGAGTTATTGCAGGCTGTATTAAGTTTGCAGGTTGAATTTTCTGTTTCTTTAGAACTATGCATGTGGCAGATAAAAGTTGGGAAATAGTTCAGTTTTGTCTTTTCCTTGTTCTTTGTCAAGTGAAGTAAAAGTAGGGAAAACCTTGCAATAAGACTTTCTTTTTTTTAAAGCCTGTTACACAGAAAATATTACTTTTGAAAGTGTTACAGTGATATGTTATTTTCTTACTCCAAAATTAGCTTTTAAAAAAACAACCTTATTGTAAATCACTAATTTGTCAGTTGTTTCTTCTTTCCCCTAGACTGTAATGACTTCACAGGCCATTTGAATGGTGCAGGCTTTCTGTAGGTTCTGTTTCCTAAGTGATGTTTCTTATACAGATTTATCTCTTTTTCTCTCCCTGCACCCCAAACAGAGCAAATATATATAAATGCACACTTGAATCCTATTAGTGATTCATTTATTTACTTCTTTTGGCAACTTGGCTAGTTATGATTGTGCCCAGGAACAGCAACAACGCATAGTGAGCTACACCACAGATATTTTCATCATCATAAATGAGATACCTATTTTAGATAGATGTAACAGTATAAACCCCTTTTCCCTTATCTTATTGTGTTGGAACAAACTCTTTTGAGATGTGTGCATATGTAATAGCATATGTATGAGTATGGGACGTGATATTTTTCCCTCCTACGATGCTGACGCACGGTAGTGCTGCAGTGGTTTAGGACAGCCTCAGGCCGGGATTTCTAACCTTTCAAATATTTGGGGTTTGGTATTATATAGAGAGGCGCTTTTAGCCTATGAAGGACTTTCTAAGTATGTGTTCTATTTTGATATGTTCAGTACATTCCAAGAGCATTACGACTGCATGTATATTCAGTGAGTGTGACTACCTGGAATTCTATTTGTGAGGTAGTTTCTTCTGTGTAAAGAGAAAAGAATAAAAGCTTTTCAAAGACAAATTTGAAATACCACAGGTTTCTTAAAAAAACCAGAAAACAACAACAACAACCAACCAACAAACATCCCAAACTGAGATACTTGTAGCTAAGTTTTTCTGTGCCTATCAGAAACATCAGGAATTAGTATGCTACTAATCAATAACCTCTCAGTCTTTGATTCCACCTACAACTGTTTTGCTTATCTGTATTCATGTGGACCTTAGCTTAATTTTGTGTGTACATACATAAAAATATGTTTGTGTATATATATATATATACATATATATACATGCACACATACATAGAAATATGTATATTAGGGATCCAGAAGAATTTGATCTTAGAGTAATTATGTGTTACCATGGCTGTCCAAGGCATAGGGGACTAAAAAGCAGGGGATTTTGACTAGCACACAGTACCCCTCACTACCTTTCTTGTTCTGGCCTTTGTAAATTAACTCCTTATATTCATCTTTGGTCTCTTTGATCTCTCTTTTCTCACTAAGCTTTGCTTCTTGGAGAGAACCGTAAAGTAACAGAGAAGGTGGTCTAATGTCTATAGGAAGTTCTTATGTATTCTAATGTGGAGGGAGATGAGGTATAATTGGGAGATGAGGTATAAACCTCATCTCATAGCAAAACTGGAATAGTCTGTTGGAGTAAAAATGATTTTTTTGGGACAAGTAAACCTTAAAGACCACATAGGAATGGTAGTAGTAGATCAAATTAAGTCTCTCTTGCTTAGTGTCTGAATCCAACTGTGAACATTGGCACATGCCTGAAGAAGAATAAACCAGGTCTAGCATACTGAGACACTTCAGCATTACATGGCAGCAGATTCCAGTGATCTGCAGTGAGTCCCGATAAGCATTCTCCCATGAACTGAATGTAATCACTTTTGAACCCATGTAAAACAGAGATTTGAGCTTTCTAAGTATATCTCATAAGGAAATTAACCTCTAAATGAAGTGTGAGGCTGATGTTCTTTCATGAATGCACACTAGCAATTCATCCATCAGTACAAATTTCATCTGGTTCAAATGTGGGGAGGTGAATGCATTTCTGTTGATTTAGTAAGCATGAATAACTTGGACTTTATGGTGATTTTATACAGGATGTCGAAAGACAAATGAACAGAGACTGCCAGTGCAAAGCCAACTAGACAAAATTCTCTGAACACATTTGGACTGACATTCCTGTGGCTGTTATGTTTTTGGTCAGACACTAGTATCCCTAGCACTGGATTTTCTTTACTGGTGAACCACAGCTTCAGTAAAAGACATTAATTAGAGAAATTATCAGCATTGTGACCATATGGTATTCAGTCAAGACTTCAAAATAACACAAGTAAGACATTGCTGAGTTACTAACTGGAGAGGAATGAAATTTAGCACATATGACATCAATTATTTAAAAAGTCCTTGAAGCAGAAGGAAGTTCTTTGGCAGAAATTCTAGTAAAGAATAGGTTAGTGGGTAAATAGGAATGAATGATACAAAAAGGAAGAGATGAAGAAGTTTATTTTCATTTTTCCAGGGAAAGCAATGCCTCACACATTTATTAGAAAGGAGTCAGTGAAAATGCTGGTTAATACAACATACTTATCTTTTCAAAATGCTGTTAACAACAGTCATCACTGAGAAGTCTTAAAGACACTCTTCTCACACACTACATTTTCATTAAGAGACAGGAGGAAAATTAAGAATCAGTGGTTAGGCTCCAGAGTGAAGAGGGCTACTGATGGAGTCTTACAGACAGTGTTTTCTGATCAGGCAAAACAGTGAATAGTGAAGTAACATTTCTGCTAATACAGATTTGTCTGTCTAAAATGAATAGTTGGGAATCACATAAAGGTCTCATAGGGAGACAGTGACTGATAAAATGTGCCGATGACTTTGTGCTGATAGATGCAAACAATGCTGGAGAGTGGGGAACAACGCTAGCTCTATTGAATACATTGTTGGACTCTCAGCTAGTGTTGCCACCAGAAAAGGGGCCTGATGGTTTGCTGCAGTCAGCATTCTGGCTCCACGACTGTCAAGAAGGCAAATGGTGTTAGGCATTGTCATGAAGTCTACAAAGGACAAAACAGAAAATCTCACTACATCACTGTAAAACTTCAGAAAGATAATAGTAGAATCAAAAAAGGCAAATAGCAGCCAAGTAGACCAGTAGAGACATGGAATGACTTAGATGTGGGGAGGCACTACATAGGAGGAAGACACTGTTTTCCTTCTGGAAAACAGCTGGCTTAGGAGTAAGTGACTGTGGTAGACATTCATACCATTTTGAGTGTGTCTTGGTGAAACAGAACGGTTACTCACTGTTTTTCATTATACCAGGAGATGCCCTTTTTTTTTTTCCTATCAGACAGTAAGTTAAAAACAGAAAAAGGAAACAGCATGGAACTCTTTGCCACAGGATGATGAGAAAATCTGAAAGTATGAAAATACTTGGAGAACCTCATGACTGGTTGGTCTACTGGTGCTTTTAGACACAATAGTCCAGTGGCAACCTCTGACTTGTGAAGGCTCAAGATTTTACATTGCCAGAAGTTGTCGTTATCCTCCTAGATGTTTGTTCCTTATATTTGCCCAATATTATTAGAATTTTTCTTGGAAATATAATGCTGGCCTCTATCAAAGACCAGCTTCTGAGTTAAGTGTATCCTGTGTTACCTCTCTGTTGGAAAGCAAGTGAAGAAATATGTTTTTTCTGTTGAGGCATTTGATTTTGTGTGAGTTCATGTTTAAATGTTTTCTGAAGGCATGGGCCATGGTCCTAGGTCATGAGAATGGTTCATTGGAGAGTTTTCTGATAGCAAAAACATCAGAAAGGGAGTCTTAGGTGAATCAGTAGGTATAGTAGTGTTTATTCTTGCAATTTAGAAGTATATGCAGTATATTCTGTTCATCTGTCAGTCAATGCTTAGCAGAAAAACCCCCACATTAAATAGTAATTATCGTAAAGAATAAAGGATGTTTTTCCATGATAAGTATTAGCACAACTTCATTGACACTTCTTTCTCTTTGAAACGAAAGCAGACTGCAGTTAGGCACTAAAGTGAGAGACTGCATTCAAATGAAGCAGACCCCCTGTTCTGTAATACTGCTAATTTGAGGGGACAGGAAGGAGAAGAGCGAGCAAGAGTTGACATTCTTGCTAGAAAAGCATCTAGGAATATGCACTGGGACAGGAGGAATTAATATCTGATTTTGTTTCCTACGCTCACTAGTGTACACGTGCCTATGTACATTTAACATCCCTTTATTCTTTTGTGCCGCTTCTCCCGCCGCTCCGCCGCCGCCGCCACGAGAGGGCGCCGCTGCCGCGGGTCCCGAGCCCCGCGGGGCCGGAGCGCGACCGGGAGCGGCCCCGGCAGCGGCCCCGGGAGCGGGGCAGAGGGCGCTCCGGGGGGAACGCGGGCACCGGCCTCACCTGCTGGGAGAGGCCGGGAATGGGCGGCTGCGGAGAAGGACGGGCAGGCACCCCCGTGTGTTAGTGGGCGGTGGCACTGGTCGCAGAAGAGGTGGCCTGCAGAGGCTTTCGTCTGAGGAGCAGCCCGGCTGCACAACTCCAGGGTGTTCTGGGGACTCCAGGGAGAGCACTACACCTCTTAGACATTTCATTAGGAAAAGAATGGAGTAAACAGCAAGGTGGACGGAAAGAAGGGACAAGTTTTTTTCCATCTATGGCTTTTTTCATCTATGGGTTATTTTGAATGTGCTTGACAGAGTTAGGAAAAGGCGCGCATGCCAAATGAACATGGGTGGGTTCCTGCTCA